TTAAAGATCATCGAGTTCCAACCCCCCTGCCCTGGGCAGGGACACCTCCTACTAGACCAGGTTGCTCAAAGCCCCATCCAACCTGGTCTTGACCCCATCCAGGCTGGTCTTGAATAATAAATAAATCTGTTCCCACCGAGAAGACCCTACAAAAACCTCAGCTCTTTCCTTCTTGCCCCCTTGGATGCCAGCAAACCGGTTGCCAAGTTGCTAGCGACTCATTTTGGGTCCCTCTTCCCTAAAAAAGGGGATCCAAGAGAAAAAAAAAAAAAAAAAAAATTCTTTTAAAAGCTTTTATTAAAGATCTAACAAAAAAAAAGAAGAGAAAAATCTGTTAAAGTATTTGAAATGTAAAATAGGGCTTTCATTTGAACAGCATCTCTGATTCCTTTTGTCTCTCTCTGTATAGAGGTTTCACAAGAATATACACAGTTTGACAGACTTTCAGATGATATTAAAGGAGGCAACATCTGATTGTGGGGGAAAATAAACAGTTTAATTGAGATGGGCTAGAACTGTTGGACTCTGACCCGCTGCTTTGCAGAACCACCCAGACAAACGCCGATGGAAAGGAAAGCTGTTGAGGGTACCAGTACCGTGCTGCACCTGCAACCTCTGTGACAGAGTCGAGCCCATCACACAAACACACACACACCCCCCGTGTGCCCATGCTAACATCAGTGTGTCCCCTCTGGGGGACCCCTGGCCCGGGTGGTGGGACAGAGGAGCAGTGAGAGCTGTGAGCATCAGCCCCTTCCCATCCCCACCACCTTTCCCCTCCCCGTGCACATCCCTCCATCAGTGTGTTGGGCGCCGCAGGAGCCGGGTGTCCAGCTCTGACTGGGGGGGTGCCCCACCTCTGCAATGCCCCATGGCTGACACAGTGCCATCTCCCCAGTTTTTCCAAGGGGAGGGGTTGCTTCCAGTTTCCCCCCTGAATTCTGCAGCTGGACAAGCCCTTGTCCCCTCTGCAGCTGCTGCTCTGTAGGAGCCCTGACCTGAGATGGGAGGGGGAAGATGCATCCCAGGAGAGGATGCTGAGGGGGCAGCGGAGCCCAGTAGTGCTTTTCCCAGACCTGAGTTGAAGTTTAGCATTCAGGATGACTGCCAACCCCTTAGCAACACAGTGCCACCATCTGCTAGTGCTAGATAGGGACACAAACACACGGGGTTGCACAGGGGCAGTGCTGCTCTGCAGGCAACGGGTGCAAGGGGAGCGAGGGAGCAGCAAGCAGATGGAAGGGACCTGCCAGCGAGCCCCATGTGTGCCACGCTCTCGAAAATTGCCTTTCCAGACCTGGGCACTGCTGTGCTGCTGATACAGGCAGTAACCAGGGCAGTCATTGCCCCTAAACCTTCTGCTCCCCACAGGGGAATGGTACAATCAGACCAGCCCCAGGGTTGCCATTGATGGAACAGGGAGGATGGTGCTGCCAGGGCAGCAGCCAGCACTGAGCCAAGAAAAGGGGCAAAGGGAAAAGGGAAAGGGAAAGGGAAAGGCAAAAGGAAAGGGAAAGGTTGTGGTGCACGGCAGCTCCCCAGACAAACCATGGCTGGAGGCTCCATGATGCCACGGGGAGGATGGCAGATTGGAAGAAAAAAGATTCAGATTAGATCTCAGGAAGAAATTTTTTACTATGAGGGTGGTGAGACACTGGAACAGGTTGCCCAGGGAAGTTGTGGATGCCCCATCCCTGGAAGTGTTCAAGGCCAGGCTGGATGGGGCCTTGAGCAACCTGGTCTGGTGGGAGGTGTCCCTGCCCATGGCAGGGGGGTTGGAACTCGATGATCTTTGAGGTCCCTTCCAACCCAAACCATTCTATGATTCTATGACTACCATGCAGGCTGGCAGTGGGTGCCCAAGGGGCCCTGCTGAGCCAGAGCTTCTCCTGTCCCCATGGCTCCCCAGGCCAGCAGAGCCCTCCCCTGTCACAGCAGCAGCCACCAGCTCTGTGGGTTGTCTCAGCCAGGCAGGGCAGGAGCGGGGTCCCTGCACTGAGAGCAGAGCCTCAACAGGAACACCCCTCTCGGAGCTGGGGAGACAAAAACAGGGACCACAAAACGCTCCTGCTGTTGTAACAAGAAGCGATAGATTAAAAAGCTAGTTAAAAATTCATCCAAGAGAGGCAGAGTTTCCCAAGCATATCAGAGTTAATATTTATAAAGGGGATTGTTGCTCAGTCTCAATTATCCTAAAAGCTCGGTACAATTGATGCATTGGAGAAACCACGAACACAGGCATGTCAAGGGAAAACCATTCCCTGTGACCGCTAACAAAATGCAATCAGATCTGCAACATGTGGAGCCAATTGATTTTCAACAAGTTATACAATGTAAACAAATGATTGATTCTCAGGCTCCTTTCATTTCCGAGCAGGCAGTCAGAAATCTCTCCAACTACTCTGAGCAGGTAAGGCTGGTGGTAAACAAGGGCTGCAGAGGGGCAGCATGCAGTTCTTTCATCAACCTGCGAACAGCAGGAGCTTTGATTTTTTTTTTTTTTCCCCCGCCCCTTAAGCAGCCACTAAATAATCAACAATTCCTCAAGTAAGCAACCCCCTGATCATGTGAAATCTTTCTGTTGCCAGTGGTCATGTCGGAGCAGCTTCTGCCTTCAATGAGAGTCAGGAGTTTTTTATTGCTTTTGCATTTTGCCTCCTCTGATGTTTCCAGCCTTTCCTCTGATTTACCCGAGACAGATGAGACAGGAATATCTCCGAGAGCTTTATCACTTCTCTGTCAGCAGCGGCTGCTAAGTCAACGGTGCGGTGGTGTGTGTCTGGACCGGCGGTACAGAGGTTGCTCAAATCGTTCTCCACTCCCGCTGAAACCAATAAGCTTTACTCCACTGCATCGACTCGGCTCCCCAACCGTGCCCCCTGGTTATGTCAAATTAAATCTCAGCCCATCACCGGCAGACTGCCAATATCAGCCCGCATCCCCGGGCACCCTGGGGGCACCTAGGGGTGGGCGCCCCAGGAACTGGGGCTGCAGCAACCGGTGCAGCACCCACCCCACCGCCGGTGGGACCAGGGGCTCTGGGGACCCACAGGTCACCGGGGTGCCAACCACCGGCACATCTCACCTCCCAGCCCAGCCACCTCCACCAGTGCTGGTGGAGTCACCAGAGGAGCACAGGCACTGTTGCTCGGGGAGCTGCGTGCACGGAGGTGGACTGGCTCTTGTGAAGATGAAGTGGTTTCTCCACACACCTCCTGGTGACTGCACACCTCTGCACCACCCGGCCCCACCAGCCACACACCGTGATGCAAAACCTGCTCTCAGCACCGGCCTGTCTGCACAGGCACTGCTGCAGGACTGTGCCCATCACACCCGACAGCATCACAGCATCTCACCCCACACACCTCCTCCTTTGCACCAGTGCCCAGACCTGTGGGTGAGGGTTGTCCTCCCCAGCTAGTGCTGCACACCTCTAGCATCCTTCAAGCACAGCCTGCTCACGTTGCACCTTGTGTTTTACTTCTCCATCACTCTACTTCTCCTTTTTCCCCCGACCTACCCTCCTGCTTGCATCTTCCTCAGCCCTGCAGCGGCAGTGGGGGCTATTTTGGGGACACAGAGGCACCAGCACCTCGCAGAACATGCTCCTGATGCAGCTCACTTTGTCCTGGCCCTCCTGCCCTTCTGAGCCCCGCTGGGGTGCTGTTGCAATTACTGATTGAATATCTGAGGAGAAAAGAGTCACATTGCCATGAACTGTGATAATTATTGCAACAATAGCAATAAAAATGCATTTCCAGAGCTCCACCACCTGCTTGATTACGCTCTGCTTGCAGGATGATGTGCAGTTGGGTGTTGCTGTAGCACAGCATCCCAGGCAAGGGAGAGCCACCAGCCCATATCCCAGATCCCCAGGTGACAATGGTCTGGAGCAGACTTACCAGCCCCTTGCAAGCACCAAGGAGCCCCCCAGGAGGATGGAAAGGGCCAGCAGCGGGGCAGAAGGGGCCACCTCCCCTGTGACAACAGATAAGAAGGGACTGGGTTGCCGTGGCTGGGTTTGGCCAAGAGAACATTGTGAGTTAAACTACATCCTCACCGGGCAAGAGGGAGGAGAGGGGATGAGCTGGGGAGCAGCACGAGAAACTCAGGAGAGCATCTGGGATGGGAGCAGAGGAGAAGAACACTTCAGCCCCAGCTGGGAAGTCAAGGGCTCACTCCCCAACCAGCCAAAGTACCCAGAAGATACGGACGCCGCTTGTTACCCTGTGTGAACTGCAATGGTGTTCTCCTTGGTTTGCAGTGCTCCACATTAGCTGAGTCTCTGCTTCATGTGCTGCTCTGCCAGAACCATCTCTCCTCTTCACTTGGGGTTTCTCCAGGGTTCACAGCTGACCCCAGTGAATCTGGGAGGCCGAGGGCACTCTGCTCTTCCGAGGATGTCTGCAGCTTTGTGCTGGGATCTGAGCAGTGCAGAGTTCCCCAAGCAGCTCCGTGTGGGGTGGCGCAGCCCCTTCCCACAAACCAGGGACAGCACGGTGGGTGC